ACACGGCACGATTGTCTCGTGCGATTTGTAGTATACGACTTGAATCGCGCAGTGTAAATGCCCCTACGACTTGTCTACAACAGTCGTACGCAACCTACGACTTGTAGTAGGATTTTGAACCACTGCTTCCTACGACTTGTAGTAGGAAAATCGTATACTACAAGTCGCGCGCGACAAATCGTACCGTGTAAATCAGCCTTTAGATGTCAAGGTCACGTTTATTTATTCGTGAAGTATTCATCAAGGTCATGAACGTTTTAATGACGTTTCAAGGGGAAGACAGTGTGCTTTTATGTGTTCATAGTTCCGATTGGAATTCACTAAACAGATACCCTGGTCCCAGAGGTTTGATATATTCTCTCTTCGCTATTGTTTTTGTCGGCGCGAAGCGTCGTAATCGAGGCCGTAAGGCCGAGCGAAAAGTTTGATTTTCGCTCGGCCTTGTGGCCCCGATTAAGGCGCTTCGCGCCGACAAAAACAATAACGAGGAGAGAAAATATCAAACCTCTGGGACCAGGGTACTAAACAGATAGCTTGAAAAAAAATACGGAGTGTCTAAACGTCAGGCAGTCTAATTTTTTCTTATAAAATCGTCGGAACAACCGTAATTTCAATTAATACAACAAGGGAAATGCAATTAAGACCGAAATAATACTGTTCGACAAGTTTCAAACACAAGCACGGCATTTTGAGATTTTCGACTGCCTGACGTTTAGTCCCAAAACTAAACGTCAGGCAGTCGATTTTTGTTGTGAAAAACAAACAAACAAACAAACAAAAAATTTAATACACATTACACATTAAGTTACAATTTAAGTGAATAGCAAATGAAGTTGAATAAATAAGAATATATAAGGTTTTCTTAATGTTGTGCCTAAAGGCTAAGTAAACTGGTAAGTTTTCTAGTTAGCCTTTAGTAATAAAGTTAAAATTTACGTTTCTGTAGAAATGAAAAAAGTGAAAAATCGTCGGAACAACCGTAATTTCAATTAATACAACAAGGGAAATGCGATAAAGACCGAAATAATACTTTTCGACAAGTTTGTATGGTCAAGGCACTTTGAGATTTGTTTGACTGCCCGGGAGACTGCCTGACGTTTAGTCCCAGAACTAAACATCAGGCAGCAAATTTTTTTGTGAAAAATCGTCGGAATAACCGTAATTTCAATTAATACACCGAAACAATACTGTTCGACAAGTTTGTATAGTCACAAGCCCCGGTCACAAGCACGGCACTTTGAGATTTTTCGAGTGCCTGACGTTTAGTCCCCTATACGGTTCTTCGGTATTACGGTTCAACCGTAATTTCAATTAATACAAAACGGGAATGCACTAAAGACCGAAATAATACTATTGGACAAGTTTGTATAGTCACAAGCCCCGGTCACAAGCATGGCACTTTGAGATTTGAACTAGTAAACGTCAGGCAGTATCTACTTTTTTGTGAAAAGTCGTCGGAACAACTGTAATTTCAATTAATAGCACAAGAGAAATGGAATAAAGACCGAAATAAGGGTSTAGTCAAAAGTTAGCAGGGGGAGGGGAGGTGGAAATTGAAAAGTTGGTACTGGGAATAGGGTGACCACTCATAGTGGGGAAATGGTGAAATTTTCTAACACTACTGATATTAGACGGGCAAAATATCGTGACCTTCCCCGTCCCCTTTCAACCACCAGAAAAATTTGTCATTGTCCACAATTAGCATCCAGTGAATCAGTGTTGCAGGGCCTATAATTGAACCATTCTTTCTTCATTTTCAAGGGATAAGGATTAGGATATTTGATATAGGCAGTTGATTCATTTGATTCATCTATTCTATGTATTGCTTACTTTATACATTTGATATACTTTGTTTGTCTTAGTGTTGTTGTGGCTATTGAACAAAATAAAACACTTTCTTTATCTATTTATACTGTGAACCAATTATTATTATAATTAACTGCCTATCAAATATCCTAATAATTATTACTTCATTCAAAATTAAGAAACAATGGTCTAATTATAGTTCCTGCACTATCTTTCACATGGCTGCTTGGGGGCAATGATGTTGTGGTAATGGTTGAAGGGGGRTGGTCTGATACAGAGAGGGTTAGTAAATTTCACTTCATCMACAACTCTAGTATGTCWTCACCTTATYCTCMGTACCCASTTTTCAATTTCCACCTCCCCTTCTCACTGCTAATTTCTGACAAGACCATTATATTTCGGTCTTTATTCCATAATTTCTCTTGTGCTATTAAGACTTTTCACACAAAAAAATCGACTGCCTGAAGTTAAATTCTGGGACTTGTCGAACAGTATTATTTCGGTCTTAACTGCATTTCCCTTGTTGTATTAATTGAAATTACGGTTGTTCCGACGATTTTATAAGAAAAAATTAGACTGCCTGACGTTTAGACACTCCGAAAAAAATAACGTATACTGCCTGAAGAATTTTACGTTACGTTTTTCGCACACCGCATTTCGAATGGTTTTGCAATGTATCATAGGATATATATGTTCCTTTCTTAATCAAAACAAATCGCTAAAATCGTAAAAAACACTAATTAGTTTCGATTTTTCCACAGACAAAATATTCCTTTGTTTTCATTTTTGCTTGATTTGCCTAGTAAATGGAAATTCTTGATTAACTGTACATTTTTTTGGAGGTTTTTCTTGCTGTATTTCCTTGTATGTTGATATTCGTTTGTTTTTTCCCTTCTGAGATTAACTACAATATCAATGTTTCCCAATGTTTTTCGAAAACTGAGTCTACGTTACAGACAACTGGAGCACTGACATCGTTGTTAACTTCTTTACTCATTTATCAATCCCAAAATGCACTGCGTCACAAGGMTTTCCGCGGGTTGCGATATGGACTATGCCACTGCGATGCTGATGTGATAGATGTTAATCTATAGTACGTTGTGAAAATGAAATAGCTACTCGAAGCACTCACTTTCTATTAAAAATGATTAGTTTTAGTTTTTCTTTATGAAGAAACTAMCGGTTATAAGTAATACATTTATTACCATGAAATGGGTCGTATCTTCCTCCAATCGAGGTGATGTTCTACGCATGTCCGATGGTCGGTCTGTGACAAGACAAGTCACATTTTTACTGAGGAATCGCTCTACAGACTAAATAAGAAATAAATACCATTGAGCGCTCATAATATGTAAGATAAAATTCTTATCAACATATAGATCAGAATAAGAGATAATCTATAAGTTCATAAGACACTTGATATCAACCCGTTCAGTGACTTACCCCGCCCAGTGACATGATGTGCTTTTCCAGTTCATTGTACCTATGTACGCTACAGATGTCAAGATAAAAAACCTGGCCTTGGAGAGATTGCCTGGCTAATGAAATAACGATTAGATTGACACCAATTGTTTGAAAATGCAAAAAATAACAGATATTATATAAATGATAATATAGTCAACGTTGATTCAAATAACAGTTTTCAACTCCGCGTGCGCAAGGTTATCCTTRAGGGTCCAGTTCTGGACTATCTTCACATAAGCAATCGTGATCAAAACATCTTSTTTTTATCACAAATACAGCATTCATGTTAGACCACCTCTCGCATTGAGAAAACCAAAAAAAGCTTGAAAAAARTTGTCTTTTGTACTTTCTTATTTAAAAGTATTTTTGATGTTTCCATCTTCATAGCTGTAACTGCTGTGTCCTTATTATACTTTCTTTACATATTTCATGTCTTACTTTTTAACGAGGACGCTTTTCTTAAGAGCGCAGTAAAACAATTTTCCAGACCGGTTTACCGGGCTGTCGAATGTTTCTATAGGAATTGTTTTAGCATTTCTTTCTATAGCCTTCTTGACGAGATATTGCCAAAAAAATTTAGCACTTTTTAACCTACGTCTGTTTTTGCCATTACGGAATAGCAGTGGCAATAAGCTTACCAGCCATGATGACCACAGCGCCTGATGACACTGGCTGGTGAACTGGACTATTGTGACGTCATTAAAATCAGCGCGAAATGCATGCTTTTGCAGAGTCATTTACTACCAATCTCGTACCCAGAGCCCGCACTTTTGCCATCCAGCGGAAGTCAATGCGTGAGAGACTCTGGGGTAATGGACCCAATCTCGTACCCAGAGCCCGCACTTTTGCCATCCAGCGGAAGTCAATGCGTGAGAGACTCTGAAGAAATGCGTTATTTCTCTATTCGTGATTGGTTGAAAATGACGCGAGCGCGCATTGGTTAGTCGCCA